AAAATTAAGATTAGGATTTTGGCCAAATTTTGGCATGGCTCTACCCTTCCCTCAAAAGTGGAGAGAGAGAGGGCTTGGAAAACCAAGCCTCTCTAATACAATTGAGTGGAGGCTCGTAGAAGGGTGGCTACATCTCAACCCTTGATTTTTAAGATCCTTAATCTAGATCTATGGCCTTCATTCATCCAAGGGCCAATCTCGTTACCAAGGCTGATGGCTCCTTTAAGTGGTCAAGAAAGCATTTTTTTTGTAAATCTAACTTCACTATTGTGTTCAAAACACCTTTTTAAGCTAAGATCGACTACTCACATGCCTCAATCTATGCTCAATTATAATTTTCATGGAAGTTTTTACTTACAAGGATCTTGGCAATTTTTGTGAAATTCTTCAAAATGAGAATTTCATTTCTTCTCTTGTAATTTGAAGGAGAGGTTGCTGATCTTGTTTTCTTCACTCCACAAGGTAAATCCGGTGCCACCATTGCATTGAAAAGACTCCCATTAAGTAGAAGAACCACCATGCCGCTTAAATTTGTCGAATTTGGAGGAAAATCCAAAATTACCATTGTTAACTTCCCTAAATATTTTAGAGAATTATAATTCCAACTCCTAAATCATGTGAATGATCATAGATGCATTCATAGGCTTTTAGTCAACCCTTATAGTAATGACTACCAACCTCTAAATTATTAAACTAACTAAGTTGCTATTCTAATTTTCTAACTCTTATCACTTTAGTCTTAATTAATCTAATTCAAGGAATTAGACTATGATTTATACCATCAAGGGTTGTAATCCTAAAAATTCTATAAAACTAAATTCCACTTATATAAATCCTAATCTAACATGTTTAATTATCATAAAATAGAAAAAATAATAAAAATTTAAATTTTATAGTATAATTGAGAGCTCACATTGAGCATTAATTTTTTTACCTCATATTGTAATCCATAGAGAAATTGCCTAACAAGTGCAGCATTATTCAACTTGATATCAATTACAAGTTGTTGAAATTGTGAAGCATATAATGTTATTGATCGATTGCCTTGTCTCAAAATATGGATCTTCTTGGTTGCAACACAAATTGCATCATGTTCTCCATACATGGATCAAAACTTTGCCAAATTAGCCTCCAGATTATCCAATATTGGATCTTGTCATTCAAGAAAAGAAGAAAATTATGATAATTCTAAACCTGAAAGAAGCATACCAATGAATCTAACTTGCGATCTTGGAGTTGGATAGTTTTGAGGTTGAAGTTCAATCACAAATTATACTTGATTGATAAATCCTCTAAACTTTGATCGGCTGCCATCAAACTTCTTGGATAGGATAATTCTTGGTGTTCTAATACTAGAAGGATGTTCCACTATAGAAAAAGAAATATGATTTGGTGTAAATATTGAAGCAGCTCCAATCATTTCTATGTCTTCACTTCCTGCCAATCAGCTTATTTCTTATGGTAGTAAATTAAGTTGATGCATGACAAGCATTAACTCCCTCAATTGTTCTTGCATTTGTGCAATTGCACTCTTCATTTCAGCAAGTTCTGCCATGATAACACTTAGAAAAGAGAAGATGTCTAATATTCCTTAAGACAGATAGAAGAGAAGACTTGAAAATAGAGAAAATACTAAGAACAATATTAGTTTAGAAGAAGATAATCTGTAGCTTCTAATATGCTTATTTCTTATCAAGAGAAAGGGGTAATCCACTCTTAATCAACATTAGACAAAGCTCTGATATTGTAAGTGTACTCTTATCAATCTGTCAAGGACAAGAACTTGATAAAAATAAATAAACAAGTGAGACTTTTTTCAAAGAAAAATGACAAAATACAAATAACTAAATATGTATATTAAGAAAGAAACTAGAATGGCTATTGTTAAAAGACAAGAAAACTAGAGACCTTTGAAACTAGACTAGAAACAAGAAAAGAATTGACAAGAATGAAGAAGGCTTCACTCTTGTCTCTATATATACTATCTACTTAGGAGCTATGTGGTGATGTTCTATAGGACCTCCAAAAATGTGTTGACTTTACATAACACGTATCTTAACTTGCAAGGCAAGTTTTCTATGTGGGTGCAACATAGTTAGCTTGTTCTGCAAGCTACCAACATGTATGGCATGTGATTAACTTGTTGACCAAGTTTCTAACCTACTAATCAAGTGTAAACACATGTAAAAACAAAGCAACATCTATGAAGCTTCTAGGAAGCTTTTCTAAAAGATATTATGAAAATTAATCTACTTTTACCTACTTCTACTAATTCATATCATCGAAATAATAATTACAGTAAATATATGTCTGTGATACATTCTTTCTATCTTAGTATCAATCTCAACTTGACCAATCAAGTTGGTTTCTTTAGTTGGTTTAATTCAAAAAAAAAAAACTTTATAAAATAATCTAATAAGATTAAATATTTATATTAATATTAATTTTTTAAAATTAATTTATAATTTAAAAATTATGATATATATAAAATTTTAAGATTAAAAAAAATTAAATAAAATTTCTAACTATCTTGATATTTTTGTACTTCAATATTGATCTTTATATATCAGCTTTTGATCTAAGTTGGACTATTATCAAGTATTTAAGTATCCCTAAATTATTTAATTAATCAATGATTCAAAAAAATTAGGTCATTCCAAAAAGGTTGAAATATATTAGCTAAGATCTTAACATGGTTTATTCAAGCAGGTCTTAAATTATAACTTAATCTAATAAGTAGAACAAGCTATTAGTGCTACTACCTTGATGTAAAGTTGAATAGGCTTGATGAAATACCTTAATGTAAAGTTGAATAGGCTTGACAATGTGTTTATTTTTTGACCTAATTTTGATGTCAAATTACCAAGTTGTGTTCTTTGTTCTTTAATTTAGCAATAAAAGAAGTATATATATAAATATATATATATATATATATATACATATATATATATACATGCATTATTTGAATTAGCCTCTATTATTTGTTATTTATTTTTTAAATCTCTAATTAAATTATAGTTATCTTATCAAACTTCTTTAGTAAGTCAATATCTTCTTTTAACTTGTCTCAATTGATTTTTTTTTTTTTAAATAGTTCTTCATCTTTACTAATTTTATTTTATATTTTTTTGATATTATTCTTTAATATCGGGTATTTCTTCACTATAATCTTAAATATGTTTTTAACACTCTTTGAACAAGTGTTCTATTCTTTGATTTATTTTTTACATAAAAAATATTTTTAAAAATAATTTGATTTTTTTAATATTGCAACTTGAGGATTTCGTGGCTTTATATAATTTCCAATTCTAATGCTTTCTAATTCTCAATAATTTATATATGACTTGATGTGATACTTTGCATTCTATTTATATATTTTTTTAAACTTGTATATCTATTATTTATTATTATAATACTATTTAAATTATTTCTTTTCTAATAATGATGGGATTTTTTGGTCTATACAACATAACATTCTAATTGTAGTGCAATTTTTTATGTTTTCTTTTTCTTTTTCTTTTTTAATACTAATAATTCTTTTAAAAAAATTTAATCAACTATATTCAAATAGGTAGAAATATTATTATAAAATAGATTTCAAATCTATATATTTTATCTATTCATCTTTTTAAAAATTGTGCTACAAAAATAAATTGTTGTTATGCAACAAATCCAAATTTATTATGTATGTTTTGTTGCTGGTGATCTAATTTCTCTTGAACAATTGATAATAACAAAAAACTTGTTTGTTTTAAATGTTTAATTAAATGCTTGCAATTGGCTCAAGTATCTAATCTATTGTTGCTATGACACATTATTTTCTTATATTAGTTGTAAGTGTTGTTATTTCTAATTTTTCAACTTATTTGTTTTTTTTTTTTGTTTTTGTTTTTTTTTTCCCTCTTCTATCATTTTCAAATTTTTTAACATCAAGTTCCTTGTTTTTGTACTTATGTTACATCTTAATTTCTTTGCACATGTTTAATTAAATTATGCAAAGAAATATGTGCTTAAGAATCTTTGTAATAAATAGCTAAGTACAATCATATTTTTTTAATAGTTTTTTTATAATACTTAGAAAATTTAATCTTTGATGTTAATTTTTACTATCAATGGTTTATTTTATTTTTCTAGATGAATTTTGTTAAAACAATACCTACACATAAGTTGTAGAAAAGTCACATATTAAAATAAAAATCCAACTAATCTATTTGTTATTAATATATACTTTAATAGTTTATTAATATAGAATTTTGATTTTAATAAATCATTTTATAGATATAAAATAAAATAAAATAAAAATTTATAATATCTCATCAAAAAAATTATCTAAAAAGTCTAAAATCTTTTTTAGGTTATATTTATCAAATCATTATCTAAAATATTTTATTTGTTATTTTTATTTTTATTTTTTTTTATAATAAATAAAAATAGTCTTTTTTTACTTTAAAATATATTTTATTACATAATAATTATAAATTTCATTGCTATTATAATTATTATATTGTATAAATTTTATATTTAATATTGATGAAACTTTTTAAAGAAAATTTCTTGTGTTTTTTTTAAGAGAACACATTGAATGTTGTTTTTTTTAATTAAGTGCTCAAGGTTCTATAAACAATGTACTTCTTATAACTTTTGCACCTAATAATATTGCATCTAATGTTGTTAATTAATTCAATTGGAAAACCAAGTCTACTAAGCAAAGTATTATATTAAATGTTCTCAACAACAATATTAATAACAATCACTATGTTAAGACTCTAATTTCAAGTACAATCAACAAGTCTTATTTTTTTTCAAAGAGATGTTGTTGGATTTCTAATCCATTAAATAAAACTCAACATAAAATTCAAAACAAAGCAAGATATGGGTAGCTTCACAGCCAAGCTCACCTGCTTCGGATTAGGTTGCAGCGCGCCGTCCAGACACCTTGCAAAACAGCCAAAATTGCAAAAGCGCTCTCTCTCGCTTTAAATCTGCTCTCTGATTGCCTGCTTATATCTTTTGCCTACAGTTATGTCTATAGATATATGAGGGTTTAAACTCAAAAGGTCGTTTGGATTAGCAACTTCAAGCTGTGGTTAGTAATGCATCGGAAGTGTTCTCGACTGCAAGCTCCTTATAATCCCTCTGTTTTCTGTTAGGATGTTGTAGATGAAAAATTGCAATGCGATGCTAATGTGGGTTCCTTGCGAATTATATAGTTCTTGTGAGTTTCATGCACGACATTTCAGTCCTCCACTGCGATCAACTGTCTCTCGGGCGTTCCTGACCTGGTAGCTCCTGAGAGCTCCAGCTCGGTCTCATGTGGACTCTTGCGACACATCGCTTCATGTCTGCAAGCTGCCTAGCACGTGTTGCGAAGGTGAGCGCATCTAGCGGAGTGCCCACTGTCTCGTTGGTCTATTTATAGTGGTAACCACTATTTAAGAGATTTTACCCTCTTGCCTGAATCGCGAATTGGTGCAGAATACATCAGCAATGCGATCTGCGTCGACACAGTATACCTTGTTACTGGTGTGAATTGTCTCGCATTTCTAATTCGATTCAATCGCAATTCGGTGATGCAGCGATTGCCAATTCGAAAAATTTGAACAGCTTGGTTAGGTGAATGCGATGTCCTTGTCCTGCATAATTAGATATTAGGCTGCTTCTGAATTTTATGCACGCAAGCAAAGGAGCAAGACAACTTGTCATGAACAGTAATTTTAGGGTTTGCGAGGGTTCTAGCGCATGAGGCCTGAAGGGAAACCTTGCCGCATAGTGCAAATAGTCATTCATAAGTATATGCATAGTTGGTTTGAGTTACCGTAAGGGATGCTTGTATACTGGATTGGCAGAAGTATTGTTGATATATTGCTTCAGAAGGACAGTTTTCTCACGGAAACAGAAACGTGATCACGGAGCAGGTGTGTACTGTGGCGATAATTTCTAACAAGGGCTTCGTGACTGCGGCACCCAACAACATTTGCAGGATCGGTCGTGGTCCTCATCAAGCATTTGCTAGTTCGCGGGCGCTAATCACCAGCATGGCTCACAAGGAAGCTTCCAATGTGGAGGACCCCAGTGGATCTGTGGAAAATGAGAAAATTGAAGTTGCGGGGCAACATGTTGAAGTGGTGGGGGTTCCTGGAATATCCTCCACTGATATCAGGTACATTGCAGTCGAATTATTTCCTTCATTTACATGAATAATGTGGTGTGGAAATTTTCTTGTTTGCTTCTCCGATCAGGTGAGGGGTAAGATTAGAGGTTTTGACTAACGACACAAAGCAATAAATCTCTCGACCATGATTTTCATATTCGCTTGTTTAAATCAAATTTATTCAACGATGACCTTGTGAGCAGTTGTAAACCCTCTCTTCACGGGGACATGCACTCAGTATTTGTTCAAGCTGGCTGGTAATGTTGAATACATGCTTAGGTTCGTCAATATGTTGAACTTTTATGCAGCAAAGCGATAAAATCTGGACCATTCCGACAATGGCTGGACTACATGAAAGGAAGTTCTGGTATTTTGACTCTGGGCGGTAGTGGGGGAGGTCGTTGTTCTTTGAGGAAGATCCTTATCCAGGTAGTAGTTGCAAATAAGAATCACCAATTGTTGCCAGACTTATGATTAGGATTTTGAGCATGTGATCGATACAAATAGGGCATTGTAGTCTTAATTAGCCAACCCCATGACTTATGCTAGTTCAGCTGTTTTAGGTCTTCATTTGGTGACCCCTTGTTTACAGTGCCTACACTTTTGTTCTATTAGCTAATTCTAATGGAGCAGAGTTCTTTTTTACCAGAGTATAGACATGTTCGGGCCGCGTGTTGGATTTGTAAAGTTCAAGGCAGACATCATCGATCTTAAAACCGGCGCAAAGGTGTGAATTGCAAGCCCTCGTTTGGGAAAAGGACTTGAACCGTAGGAGTTTGTCAATTTAGCTGATGTCTAGCACTTCAGGTGTGGTGAAATGGTCATTCTTTATAATTTTCATTGCTTTAAGAGGAAGTCAAGCGCAGCTTGCACTTTCTGTTTTACCTCATTCTAGAATTTGTGGTTTACTTTTGATTGTTATAAATGCAGTTACCTGGCATCGTATTTGCGCGAGGCGGCGCTGTAGGGATCCTCATGTTGTTGGAATGCGAAGGAGTTAAGTACGCGGTTCTCACTGAACAGGTGTGTAAGGCTTTTCACTACATTGAGTATCCTCATTCGCTAAAGCGCATTTACCGTCAAACATGATGTTGATTACGTTTTGAAACCCAGGGGGCTAGAGCTTGTGAATTTTGAAATTTCTGTGCAGGCTCGTGTGCCTGTGGGGAGAACTATTATGGAGTTACCTGCTGGTATGCTGGATGACGATGCTGGTGACTTTGTTGGAACTGCTGCTCGTGAGGTACCCAGCTATCATGCTCTGCCTGGAATTTTCCTTCTCTGTAGCCACTGGTTTCAAGCTGGCATTTGTATTTTTATCTTATACCGAATTGAATTTTGTATTTGTAGTCATTTTATTTTTGAATCCTTGCTCATTTCAAGACATTTTGACGTTTGAAAGGTGGAGGAAGAGACTGGAATACACATAAAGGCATCAGACCTGATTGACTTGACTGGTCTATTAGATGAGTCAACAGGTCGAAAAATGTTTCCGTCACCGGTAATTTTCTCGTTTTGAAACTATTGCTCTGGTATCATGTTCTTGTTTCTTTCCTAATTCATGGTCTTTGTTAGTCTATCCGTCGTAGGGTTGTGAATGGTTAGTATGTTAATGCAATCAAAGAACAGAAAATAATCAGATACGTGCTAATAAAATTTTCTGGAAGAGAAAAGTTCTCGGCATACCTATTGATGCAACTTTTTGTGGAGCAGGGTGGCAGTGACGAAGAAATCACGCTCTTCCTTTACAGATGCCACGTGAAGAAAGAGGTGGGGCTTGTACTATGCCCTACAATACGCTACAATTTTCATGATCTGCTGCCTGATTGTATATCATTTCTTTCACATGTTTTGCAGTTGTGATTTGTTTTGGCTGACAATCAATGAGAACAACCTATACATTCTGTTTGTTGTTTACTTGTTGTATTGTGACGTATAATGACGATTGTTCAATTAATGCATTCCATCAGAGATTACTATATATGACAGCCTTTTGTAAACCTGTGCTCAGGTGATTGATTCATTGCAAGGACAAGACACTGGCCTAAGGGATCATGGTGAGTTAATTAGAGTGCACGTAGTACCATACGATACATTGTGGCGCATGTCCCCAGACTCCAAAGTCTTGGCTGCCATAGCCCTTTACGAAACGGCGCTTCGTTTGAATCTCCTCCCAAATTCTCCAAATGCACCTGACCTCTCTCAATTTTGATGCAACTTAATGATGCAATTCTCACCTCCCTAAGTACATCGAGCTGAGTAACGACATGGCCTGCTTGCTCGATTTTTCACTATTGTGCAGTTGTGCTTCAGCGGCGTACTGTCTAACATTTATCATCGTCTAAGATCGAAGTAGCATTTTGGCACCCAAGTTTCAGTTGTGGCCTCTATGCATTTTTTCAAAGATTGTGGTCACAGATGTGTGATGTAGAGTTGCTTTGATGACAAGTATTGCGAGTAATAAAGAATCCTTGCTTATTTATTGCTTATTTCATGATAAGTTGTAAATTGTGAAAGGCTTTCAATTCATTCAAAGTTCGTATCTGAGAAACCTATGTGGCTCAATATTATTAGGGTACAATTCTTGTTTGTTAAAAAAAACATGCATCAATTAAATTGTTAGTGGATAGTTATTTGATTTTCTTTTAGGAGATGCTTGCATAATTTCAAATGGCCTTTGAAGGTTAAGTAGGGGTTTTTTAATTTAGAAGAAAAAGAGTTTGTTTGTGATCAGTTAAAATTTAGAACAAAAAAATTGGTTGAATTTAAATGAAAAAAGCCAATTGAAAAACCATGATAAGAAAAGAGTGTTATTCTCTTTTATAGAATAATATAGTCAATTTATGTTAAGTTTTATTTTAAATGTTGATAACATAAATTTAGATAAATTTGTTGAAAGGTGGTATACTCATGTACAATTAAGAAGGATTTTAAAAGACCACATATATATATATATATATATATATATATACGCATGTCAAATAAAAAGATGTTAAAATAGTTATTGTCAAGTAGACAATAATCAAAGAATCTTAAATTATGATTAGAATATAGAAAAAGGTATCATAAAACTAAAGATGCCTTCAATCATGCATGTTTCGTATAGATGACAGGCTGTGGGTCAAATATTTAAATTGTAATGCACTTCCATAACAACTTTATAAAAAACAAAAATAAAATAAAACTAAAATTTAAACTTTTAAAAAATTTATCATAACACGATATACTTAAAAATCTAATCTATATATGGAAATATTTTTTAATATTTTTTAATCAAATCACATTAAAAAATATTTCTTTATATAGATTAGATTTGAAGTAAATATTATTTACTTAATTTGAGTTTAATTAATACAACATACTTAAATAATATATGTTTTGTAATAAAAAAAATAACATCATATTAAAGATTTAAATGAAATTTAAGAATTCAAACACAATCAACATGTCATAAATTTAATTTTAATTATTTATATTATAAGTAAATTTTATTTTGCTATTAGTATAAAATATTTTTTATTTTTTTATCTAAAATATTTTTTAATAAAATCAATAATACTCACAATGTAGTGTATATATATATATATATATCGAGAGAGAGAGAGAGAGAGAGAGAATGCTTATTTTTTTATTAATTTTTTTGATGTTTTTAATACACAATTAATATAACTCAGGCATCATTTTGTTCATAAAATAAATCAATCTCATAAGTACACTTGTAATTTTATTTATTTATGATCAATTTAAATCGAACACCACTTTAATACAATTGTTAATGCAAGAACACCACTTAAATAGAGAAGTGTTTTTTTAATCCTCTATAAATTTAGTTTTTTTCTTTTTTCTTTTTTTCTTTTTTTCTTCCATATAATATTCTAAAGTGTTTTATTAGATTTTTTTAATGATAAATTATTTTTTAATTAAAATATAAATATTATTTTAAAAATAAATTTACCTCAATAAAAGCTATATACTTTTATAAAGTTCTAAAACTGTATAAAGTTTCAAAAAAAAAAACATACTCAAATTTCAATAGTTTCTCAATTAGACCTCATCAAAACAGAGGTTAAAATCATTCATTAAGTACAAGAAATTTGTATAAATTTATTATTTTTATACTTAAAGTTAATTAATTAATCTTACATTTTTTATTCCTTTAAATTCTAACTTACATTTCTAGTGAATTCCTAAAAATAATTATACCAAAACATAACAATGAAATTCAAAATATTTGCCAACTTTCAGATCTAAATGCTAGAATTTAAAGATTCACAGTTCATTTAATTTTATTATTGTAAAAACACCCTACATCATATTATGTTTGGTTTCATACACTACTTTAAAAGTGCAATTTTATGCACAAATTTAAATTTTATCATAACAATGATAATGCCACCAATTCAAATCAAATTATAGTGTTTTGTTTTGTTGTGGTAAAAACACTTATCATTGCACACAATTATCTTTACAATGACTTCAGTATGACAACGTTTTGCTTTCAAAGAGTGACCTGAATAATAATTCACATAATTTTGCATACTTTGTTGAATTCACTATTTCACAACCATCTCAAACATAGATTTCTTTTAAAGGTTATATCGAAATTATTTCAACTGATAGTAGAGTATGTGAAATTCTTAGCACAATTTAAATACATGACTAGTGGCATGAATTATTAATGCCATGAACTGATCTCATTGACAAATATGGTCCCTTCAGAGATTGGACTAATTCAATGCTTCTGACGTGGCCGTGCATTCCAAGGGATAGAATTTCAGACTATCTCTGCACACATTCCATTCACTTGATGGGGTTTCAATTTAATTGGGGATATTTAAACTTATGTTGGGTTAACAGTATTTACATTGGTTGTGTACAGACTTTGCTTTTATGTGTTCATTCATATATAAAAAACCATATATTCATCAAACGTGTTTGCAAGTTTTGGGTTTAGAAAATCTGTGGAAAATGATTTTCCTCATTATTGTAATTTGGAATTGTCCTGAAGGTTTCGATTTTCCCTGAAGACTGTTTAAATGTGATTAAAAATTTCATGGTGAGTTTTTGAGACAGATGCACTGTAAAAGAGCACTAAAACTATTATAATTACTATTATCATTATTTGTGTTGAATTCCAATTTTTTTTTTCCTTTTTTTAAAATAAAATAAATTATAGCTCCATTTTACCACAAGTTTAACCAAAAAGACGGCTTTTATTTTTTATTTTTTATTTTTAAAAAAAAAGATTTTGAAAGCAATCATTCTTTAATTTCGAGGGAAAAAAAAAAAAAAAAAAAAAAAACTTCAAAGATTATTAATACTACTTCCAAGTTTTGGCAAACTATAAATAAAAATTTGAACGTTTGAATCAACAGGATTGTGTGGAGAAACATTCATTAATGTTGAAAAAGGAGATAACAAATTTATTACAACTTTCTTGGATTGATTTCGAATTTCTCAACACAACCCTAAGAATTTCTTGTGCATTTACAATTTAAATAAATTCAACGAAAAGAAAAAAATAATGAAAATAAATATAAATAAAAATAAAGAATGAAACATTAAAAAAGATTCATGGAAAAGGCATGATCTTCTCCAGTATGATAGAAAAATATTTTTCTCTGCTACTGAAATCTGAACATGTATCAGATGCTAAATTCTTGTGTATCCATAAGTTAGTTTTATTGAAAAAAATTAAAACGTTGTCTTCATGATATATGAAATTATTTTACATTTGCAGATATCTGTGCTGGATCACAAACTTCCACGTTTTTTATTTTTATTTTTTAGTTTTTTCTTGAACAACATACTCTATTAAACTATGTGAATAAATAGGACTTGAATTTAAATTTTTAAAAACAAATAAGACATGAAATAAACGACACAAAATATATTGAAAAAATTTTACTATTAGCACATACGTACACTCTTGTATACAAATTATATTTGAAATAAGGATTCATATAAATACCAACTTGGAAAAATACTGGTGTAACCAAAAGAGACCTTCATAACATCAACACTTGGTTTTTAAAATAAAATATAACATCCATCATCAAATTTGCATCAACAATAATGGTTTTTAAAAAAAATTATAAAAAAATAAAAAAAATAAAAAAATAAAATCTAAGGTCAAAGGAGAAAAAAATATTTTTCTTTTATTATATGTGTGTGTATATATATACATATATATTTACATATGTAGTGTATTATATGAAGGTCAAATAATAATTAAAAAAATTATACAATAGGCCAAGTTTTAGCATACTACATCAGTATCTAACTAAGTTATATATATATATATATATATATACAGATAGAGAGAGAGATGATACCAGTTGACAATGTATTTTAGCTTTACAATTTAAAATATTATATTTTACTTTTTTGGTACGACATTTGGTTTTAATATCAAGTTTAAGATGCTCATATATGCATATATAATATAATAACATATACATGTAATATTTTGGTTGGAATTATTTCACATTCTTTTCAAAAAGACAAAATAATAGAGTGAAGCTTTGATCCTAGTTACCTTTACATGTTCTAAACATCAATTAGACTAAGACTAAATATCTAAATATCTATGACTGAACCAAATATTAAGAACCAAAATGTTTTGGATGATGTAAAACTAAAAAAAGAAATTGGAAATGTAAAAATAAAAAAATCTAGTAAAAATGATATGAATCAGGCAATGACTAAAACCAATCGGTAGAAAGCTCCACTCCTTGACGTAATAATTTTGTTAACATGAAATTGAATGAAAATGAGCTTAATCCAACTATTCAATTAAGTTTTCAAATGAATTTCTGTGACAAATTGCACAATAATAGAGCTTCCCAACACATTTTCCATTCTAAATCAATTAGACTTAAGCTTAAGGCCTGCCAGCTTTGGACTTTGGGGTGTCTGTGAATCAGTACCGTTCCTGTGGAGAGAACCGCAATTCCCTACACCGCAATTCCGACTGACCTGCGTACAAATTCTTCACAACCATCTGAGAACATTGCAAGTATACTCGTGCAACATGCAAGACTCAAATCCATGAACATGTTTGCATGTTCAAAACCTGGAAAATGTTCAGCGTGTCTGGAGCTCTCCGATCGATGGTGTCCACATGGCCCAAAGGTTTTCAGGATAGCTTGAAGTTGGATTCAATCTGATGATCACGAGTTCCACACGTAAGCGTTCCCAGATGGATGATGCAATCACCTTCCGACTGAAGGAGATCGCATTGGCAGCCAAATGGTCATTACAATTTCCATGCAACGAGCACAAGTCGATGCTGCAAGCTGTCGCAAGAACACATAGCCGAGAGAAATTGGATTAATATGATGAGGTTCGATGAGCCTCGTATCAAGCTTCTCTCAACCGGTTATAGACCTCGCCGCTGGGTCATGCAACACCGAAGCTGAAGGGATTAGAGGCTTTAGGTGACTACGTAATCCTCCCCACTCTGTTGCAAGTCATGCGCGATGCATGGATCGTGTATCGAACTACTCTTCAGCGACGCTGTCCACTCC